GGGGACTTACATCCATTTGCTATACCAGGTTGACAGAACCATCTGTCTGTTTATTGCGGTGGATTCGTCTGTTTCTGCCCCGTTCATGTAAATGGCTGTTTCCTATAGCCCAGCCATACGAATGACTGTTTTTCCCAAACAAAACTACCAAACGGATGGCCACCCAGGAGAGAAGTGTGCTGCTGGTTAACCTATTGATTCCAATTAGAACGTTGTGGTTAACCGCAGACACTTCTCAATTAAACCGAATTCAGGGTGGTCGTCGTTCGTATGTCGACCACGAGGCAGCGGTCATTTTAAAACACGCGAAAGCCCAGCGGTATTCAGCTCTATTTTCATGGAACTAAAAACAGACACTTTTTCTGCCGAACACCGCTGAAACAACGGAACACCTGGCTGCCTCCACGAAAGCATACGAAAACCGGCCGTTCGGGAGTTTTGTAACACACAAAAGGACTTAACCCAGATAGCCTTCCCATGGAGTCAATCGCATACCGAAAGACTGTAAGAACTTTGACTCCATGGTGATTGAACTGTGTGTGTGTGGGATCTGAGCGCTATTCGCTAATAATATGCCCTCAGATCCAGGCTATCTGGGGATATGTGATGCGAATGGGAATTGTTCGGTTATTTTAAAGTTGTATATTTTTATGTATTTTCTAGTATTATATTTAAGATGGCGATTGTCTTTGTCCTGGAGATAATTGAATTACTTCTTAATTATCTCCAGGGCAGAGGGGAGGAAACCATAGTGCATTGTGGGTAAAAGCTGTGACTGTATGTCTGGAATGTCTTCATGTCCGTCTGTAATTCCAGTCTCCCATTTGGCCCCCTAGGGGAGTGTCCACCAAGTGGGAGACCTGCATAAATACAGGCAGGTAGCCCACAGTAAAGCCAGATCCTGTTTGACCCTTAATGCGGAGCTTCTGTCTCGTTATTGGGGGGATTTCTTATTTGCGTTTAGAGACTGCTGGATGGAACCGAAAACCGCTTGGTGGATATCGTTGTTCGGTGGCTAGCAGCAGTTCGTGGATTTCCATTCGGGAGTTTGGAGCCTTTCACGGATCCCGGTCGGGAGATTACCGCTTCCCCTGGTTATGGTTCGTGTATTGTAATTGATGCGAACGAATTACTGAATTTGCGAAAGGGGAAGGTGAACTAAACGGCGGTTTCCCTTAAAGACACCAGGGGTGTCTTAACACAGGTCCACTAGGAAATGGAGATATGACTGTTTGACCTTTTTATTTTGTAAGTGCAATTGTAATAAATTTTCTGCATTTTTATTTCCATCTGCACAATTTTTTAGTCTTGTTTTTAATTTTCAAGTGTAAGTAGATGTCTATACACTGAAGATTTCACACTCCATATCTGACGTAGGATGATGTGCCTGATATTCCTTTATCTCCTGTGAGTTTTCCTTATAATATTGCATGTCCTATTCTCAGTATTCACTGATCACACTATGTCTAGTCTGTATTTTTAGTAGATAACACAGACTACGATTTATCTGAGCAAGGTTGTTTTATCATTTTATTGTTTACACCTTGGGAGGTGTCACTCCAATTTCCTACTCATTTGTATGTTTCTCTGTTTTTGTTGGTGTTCTAGAGGGCACATTATTCGGTAGCTTTGTTGTACCTTTAGTGGTTTTACTCTTCTATGCTATACTATCCTGAAAGTGCCTTTTATTGGAGTGTCAATATATCTTTTAGCATCTCTTATCACAATGCTAACCATGTATCATAATTTTTTTTTTTTTTTGAATTTACATTAGTTAATAGATGTGCAAGCGGTACTAATGGTTTAAGAATAACTATTATTCACAGAAATCACTTGTTATAGAAATAGTAGACAGTAAGGTTGAATATAACAAGGATGGGAACACAAACTTGGAGGGTCAAATGCATATTAATAGATAAACAGAATGTCAACTGGGAGAATAAATGACAGTATTAAAAATCATATTAATCATATTAAGAATGGATACTGTATTTCAGGTCATCTAAGACATTATATGTCCATTCATTCTATTTCCTTAACTGAATGGCAAGTACCCATCTTTGAAGGGTGATGCTGTGTCTTATTGGCAGTGGAATCAGAACACAATCATCAACAGCAACTGGGAAGTGTTGAAGTGAAGGATAATAGAGGGTTGAGTCTGCTATTTGATATATTGGGGAATGTAGCTGTGCAATTTCCAGTTGAAGAAAAATAACACAATCTTTGTTTGTGATAGTCAGCAAGTGCTATATGTCTTTTCTCGGGGGTATTTAAGCCCTGGGCATTATGGGAAATGATGGTTATGGTAGCCATTTGTGAGATTTATCCCTGTGTGTTTGTGATGTATGGTGTGATATACGTTAATGTACTGGTATGGCACTTTGTTGTTATTCATTCTCTGAGATACTTTGTGCGTTACTCAATCTGCAATATATACTTTAAACAATAGTAAAATCAAAGGAAACTTATTTAAGAAACTATATACAACAAGTCGGTTCTCGGCTATATGTGAATTCGTGTTTAGCGCCGGAACCAAGAATATAATACAGGCTGGTGTCAGCCTCTGCAGTGTTCCGAATACCACAGAGGGTGTAATACCGTGTACCAGTCCATGATGCATACCTCTGTGAGATTCAGTGCCCTTGTGAATGGTGCCACATCTCTGTGTTCAGCTATTATGTAGGTAGTCCCTTTGAGTGTGACTATTAGTTTCTTGCCCGTAGCTGATCTGTGTCCGGCTTGAGAAGCCTTCTGGCATGAAAAGTAAGCCATGAGAGATCTTGGTATATGTGGATTTCATGGCCATGGAACAATAGTGGGGGGTTAGTGTCCCTTAATTTCTTTAGTATTTGATCTTTTACTGCAATAAGACAGCACATGATGTCTCTTGTGGTGTCCCCTACGTTGCTCTTTGGTCGAATTGAGCGGTGTGCTCTGTCAAATTGCATCGGCGTTGTAGATGGTTGGTCTAAAAGGAGGTTGAATAGTTCTTGCAAGGTTGCTTGCACATACTCGGCCTCTGCCTTCCGGCATGCCCTTGATTCGAAGGTTATTCCCCCTATTGTCAGGGTGTTCAGTTGGGCATGTATTGTTCCTCTGTCATCCTCTAGGTCCTGGACACGGAGGCCTACCTGCCGGATCTAGGAGCCTAGGCCCTCCATCTTGCGCTGGAAGGACAATTCCAGTCTCCCCAGCATTGCGGTAAGGTCTGTCTTGGAAGGAAGGTTTTTGAGTATGTCCTTGATGTGCAGATGCCGCTGAGACCTCTGAGACTGCAGGGCTGGGTGGATTTGAGTAGGGCTCCCCGGCTGTCTGCACAATGTTGGAATCACCGTGTTCTGACATGCAGTCAGCATAGTCTTTAAAAAGTTTGGAAACCAATCCCGGTTTCCCCGCGGGTGTCTACTCGGCATTAGTGTGGGCGCTCTGGGATCGTTTTGGGTTCCCCGTGTTTACTGATTTTTTTGCTTCCAAGATTGCTTTTTGTGCCTGCTGTGCCGGAGCTAAGTTAGCATGCAGCCATTTCCTTCGGTGGTTGGCCACGCCCCCTCTAATATTTGTTTTTGTGTGAAAAATGCAAACAATTTGGACATCAATTTTGGCCAGTCTTTGTGACTAAGTGGCTAATAAAAAAGACTGTACATACCCCATTTGCAATACGTTGGGTTGTCTACTATTGCAAATGGTATGCCATCATGGGGGTAATTTTCATTCCTGGGTTACCATACGGTTTCAAAGGCAACTTAGCTAATCTGGCGAATTTCAATGAGAAAAAACAAATGCAAGCCTTATATTTGATTCTTTAATTTTTGAAAACACCATAAAACCTGTACATGAGGGATACTGTTACACTCAGGAGTACAAATATTAGTGTTTCAAAACAGTAAAATGTATCACAACAATTATATCGTCATTGTAAGTTCCATTTGTGTGTGAAAAATGCAAAAAATGTCACTTTCACTGTCAAAATCATCGTTTTAATACATTTTACTGTTTTGAAACACTAGTATTTGTGTTCAGCGACATCTTCAGAGTAAAACAGTACCCCCCATGTACAGGTTTTATGGTGTCTTGGAAAGTTAAAGGGTTAAATATAGTGCTAGCAAATTAAATTCCATGCACTTTTGGCCTGGGTTGTCAGGCAGGTCCCGCAAATTATAATTAATTGTGTAAAAATATTACATAAATTTATACATGGAATTATTATATATATATATATATATATATATATATATATATTAAACAAAAATGTTTTCAAGATCATTAATACAGTGTAAGAGGTAAGTATATATAGGAAAATAATAATTACAATAACTTCAGTGCGAGTGAAAACCGCCAGCCGTCCGTGCACCAATGAAACTGTAACCGCATGTGGTTCCCTTATTTACCACTATAATGTCTTAAAGCATAGAACTTAGTAGGGCTAGCCATACAGATATCTTAGCCATAATTTTATATAGTTAGTAAGAGATCCTCTATTTACCATATATAAATAATTGAGAATACAATATTAAATAAGGATTGTCTTTTGGATATTTATTATATAAAAATATAAATATAAAATCCATTATAGCAGAGTTTATAAGATTAAATTACATGCTTGCAAATATCATTAATAGGTTAACATACCCTTCTGAACATGTCATCATGTCAGCCTCTCTGTCATTTTAAGATGGAGCAGCGTCTGTCTCCAAGTCTCTCCTCTGTGTCTTAACATTTAAAAGTACACCTATTTATACCTTAGGTGTCTCCATTTTAGGTTACTGTAGTTCAAATATGAAAAAGTAACACTTCTTTTACTTTATTCAATTTAGGACCTCCCTTAATTTGGCAAACATACAAGGCCATAACTAAAGGGTGTATACGTCATGGAAATTTTCCTGACTTAGTTCAAGATGGCATCTTAAAGTCTGAATAGGTTATCTGTTGTTTATACTAAGTCGTAAGTGTACAGTCGTGGGAGATTCCCGGATTTGGGGAAGTTCCATTAACTTGGGGTTACCACAGTATATTGTGTACTGCAAGAGTCGTAGTATAGCCTTGAAGCTTGTTTATGCATTATTGTAATTCGTCTGGGACAAAATGGCGCAAACATATTATGCACTGAGGTTATTGCTTAAAGAAACAGTTATGAAAAACAATATGTTCCATTTCTAACACCTTGTCAGTTTGCAATATCTCTTAAAGACAAAGTACACAGTTTAAGAAATACAACATTTCATTCTAAAACTTGTAATATTTGCATTTGCCCATAACAAAACCATGTGACAAATGTGATGACGTGTACAAGAACAGCATTGCTAGGCAATGTGTATACAATCAGCATGCATTCCTTTCAGTGTAATCAGCTATGCAAAAGATGCAAAAATAGATAGTGTTATAAATAAAACACCCTGTGAACAAGTGTGAAGTGTACAAAAATAATTTCAAAAATACTATAAATGGAGGAAGAAGCACATTATGTACAATAATGTCAGATAACTACATCGGAAGGTACAACGTTTAGATGTAGTGAGTAGAGTTGAGCGATCCTGGACTGTAAAGTTCGGGTTCGTACCGAACATTAAGTTTTTTGGACCCCAGACCCGAACCCGGACATATCACTGTATGTTCGGGTTGGAGTTTGGTGTTTGGAGATTTAATGGCGCATTTTAAAAGGCTGCAGGGCAGCCAATCAACAAGCGTTTGACTCGTGTGCCCTTAGAAGCCATCACAGCCATGCCTACTAATGGCATGGCTGTGATTGGCCAGTGCAGCATGTGACCCAGCCTCCATGTATAAGCTGGAGTCACGTAGTGCTGCATGTCACATGAGCTCTTATTAGTGTAGGGAGAGGATGGGATACATCTGGGACAGATTAGGAAAGAATTCTGCAAACTCGTACATTAGTAGGGTGCACTTCATATCTGAGAGTCAAATAGATGCGTCAAATACTGCAGTCACTTTGCAGTTTTAAAACTTAAAATTTTTTGGGTGCTAAAAAGTACATTAGTGGGGTGCTCTTCATATCTGAGAGTCAAATAGAAACGTCAAATACTGCGGTTACAGCGCAGTTGTAAACATTCTAATTGTTTTGGTGCTAATCTGCTAAATAGTACATTAGTGGGGTGCTCTTCATATCTGAGAGTCAAATAGAAGCATCAAATACTGCTGTCACATTGCAGTTTTAAAACTTAAAAAATTTTTGGGTGCTAAAAAGTACATTAGTGGGGTGCTCTTCATATCTGAGAGTCAAATACAAGCGTCAAATACAAGCGTCAAATACTGCGCTTACAGCGCAGTTGTAAAAATTCTAATTGTTTTGGTGCTAAACTGCTAAATAGTAAATTTGGGGCGTGCTCTTCATATCTGAGAGCCAAATAGAGCCGTGAAATAGTGCTGTAATATAGCATTTTTAAACATTCAAATTTTTGGGCTGCTAAATAGTACATTTGCGGCCTGCGATGCACTTCATATCTGAGAGTCAAATAGAACCGTCAAATACCAATATAACAATATTGTAATTCGGGGGCAATGCCCTCACAAGTCAAACTGAGAGGTCAGTTTATAGGGAAAACTGTTGCCTGGATACAATTCTAAAACAATGTCCTTTGCAGACTTTACATGCTGGAAAAACACAGGTGCCAACTGCTGTGTCTTTCTGCAGTGTGCAGACCGGCAAGGAGGGCAGGGTTGAGAGGTGGGTGGAAGATGATGTGGAGGTTGATGAGGTCCTAGACCCCACATGGAATCAAGGTCATGTGAGTGACGTGTGCAGTTTGGAGGAAGAGGCGCTGGTCGCACAGAGGCACCAGCACAGCATAAGAGGGAGCAGGGTGCAAAAGCGGAGCGGCCATCCCCTAGCACTCGTCGGCATGTATTATATTTAGAATTTCCACAGTTATCCAAGTAACAGATGGAGCGATAAAAGGAACCATAACAGATTTAACAAGCCATTCGCAGTTTCACAGTCCGGTGACTGTGACCCAGACACTGTCTGGGCGGCGGTCAGACGACCGGGACCCAGTATGCCTGATGTTGAAGTTAGGAGTCACAGTGTGGAATGGATTAGCAGGGTCTGGTGCAGGGTAACCGCATGCCCCCTGGTGTTGAGCACCAGCATTTGTGCGGCCACATTCCAGGACCCTGATGCAGCTTCAGTAAAAAGAGTACTGGATACCAGAAACCATCACCAGAACGCTTTCGGCGTTCTCACCCTGCTGCTGCTCACCTATCTGCACTGCAATGTAACTTTGGCCTTCCCGCTCACCGCCTCATATGCGACGTGCCCACAAGGAGGAACTCCACCTTGCACATGCTGGAGAGACTGTGCGAGCAGCAGCAGGCGATAGTGAAGTTTCAGCTGCAGCACACACGGGTCAGTCGCTCTGCACCAGACTTGCCCTCCAATAGATCAGAGTTAAAGGATTTCAAGTGGACTCATTACAATTACAGGGCATATAAAGAGTTCTGAATTGTTATCTATTGTCACTACCTTCCTGCATCGGGAGTGGGTCATTTGCGCGCCTGCTACCTTCCTTGAATGTGGTAGCCGTTTTTCAGGCTGCCTCTCAGGAATCGAACCCTGATTCCCCATTACTCGTGGTCACCATGGTAGGCGCAGTAAATGGCATCGAAAGTTTATATGGATGACATACGAAAGCGTTGTTCTCCTTGTCATTGGGGAGCCCATTGAAAAAGTGCTCTATCATGACGAGCTGGGAACTTGGGGAACTTGGCTTGATGGGAGTTGAGCCAGTTCTAGGTGGCCCTTGTGATGCGGCATGCCCACTCCGCATGGGAGTCCTTCTCCCCTTTCCGGGTCTCCCTAAACGTTCGGCAGTATTGCTCGGGGGTGACCGCATACGGGGCCAGGAGGATTTGGGTAATAAAGGGATTGTCTCTGATCTGCTCTTCTGGTACAGCCCGGTAAATATCCACTGCCTTCCCCACTAGTTTGCTGGCCATTATGGTGACCCAGTCGCTGGGGTCCATGTCTTGGAGTAGGCACTGGCGCTCAAAGTCTTGTAAAAAGTCATTGATGCCTTCTTCTGCTTCCTTGAAGTCTTTGAAGGCATTGTATGGTAGCTTGTGGGCCAGGGTGGTTGTGCTTCCCGGTGCCCTCAGCTCCCTTCTTCCTTCATCTGGGTTCATGGAGGTCGCCTTCTGTCTATTGACAAGGACATAGGCTTGCACCTCCAAAAAGGTCCTGCTGGCAATTTCCTCTGAGGGTCGCTCTTGGTAATATGCCACACCTCCTTGCGCACTTCCTCCTCATCTCCTGCTGCTGCTCGCCTGTCTGCGCTGCAGTGTAACTTCGGCCTTCTCGCTCACCGCCTCATGAGACTGTGCGAGCAGCAGCAGGCGATAGTGGAGTTTCAGCTGCAGCACGCACGGGTCAGTCGCTCTGCAGAACAGACTTGTGTTTTTTTATATGTCCCAATATTTTTGGGGCTACCCCAATTAAAAAAAATTATATATATATAAAAAACAGTGTTAGCTACCTCCTCCTCCTCCACCACCGCTTCCACCTACACCGCCATGGTCATGCCTCCTACCCAACTGACTATGGGTCAGTTAGTATAAACAATAGCTGAGGCTTGTGAAGGCCTTTTCTCCATGCATCAGGAGTTGAGCATTTATCCATGCATCAGGGCTGTAAGAAATGCACTGCAGGCCGCACATGTTTCTTTTTTTATATGTCCCAAATCCCTATATTTTGGGGGCTTCCCCAATTAAAAAAAAACCATAAAAAACAGTGCTGGCTACCTCCTCCTCCTCCACCGCCTTTTCCACCTACACCGCCACGGTCACCACCTCCTCAATCTATGGGTCACTTAGTATAAACTATGTACACAATAGCAGAGGCTTGTGAAGGGAAGGCCTTTTCTCCATGCATCAGGAGTTGAGCATTTCTCCATGCATCAGGACTGCAAGAAATGCACCACAGGCCGCAAATGTTTCTCTTTTTATATGTCCCAATATTTTGGGGGCTACCTCAATAAAAAAAAACAAAAAAAAAACAGTGTTGGCTACCTCCTCCTCCTCCTCCTCCTCCACCACCGCTTCTACCTACACCACCACATTCACTGCCTCCTCAACCTATGGGTCACGTAGTATAAACTATGTACACAATAGCAAAGGCTTGTGAAGGCCTTTTCTCCATGCATCAGGAGATGAGCTCAGTTTCAACAATTAAAGAGAATACCCTGCACTCCAACCCTCTCTTATATGGATAATTCTGGTGATCCTCCTGACAGCCATGCTTTAGATTTTGATTTATGTTCTTCCAAAGCTAAAATCAAAGATTCCATCTAGTGCTATTTTATGGCTCAGCTGTATTTTTTATTTTTATGTTATTTGAAGTGATTTCCCTATCCACGTTTGTTTGCAACGCACTTGTCCTACTCTTCCCCCCCATTTTACTTCCTTTTGCAGCCCTCTAGCCCTTTCCAGGAGTTTTTTTAGAGGCATTTTTGTGACCAAAAGTTCGGGTGCCCATTGACTTTAATGGGCTTCGGGGTCAAGTTCAGGGTCAAGTTCGAGCCCGAACCTGGACTTTTTTTCAAAATTTGGCCGAACCCGCCAGACCCGAACATCCAGGTGTCAGCTCAACTCTAGTGGTGAGCACAAAAATGAGACTAAGTGAGTGAATAAACAGGGAATGTATGTGAGCACACTAGGTGACAAAATGAAACGTATAGATCTAAATGTACACTCCTGCAAATACTGAATTATATCTAAGAATACCATATGTGTTACTATACAAAGCCCCCAATGTGTACATGCAACCAAATCAGTGATTCTACATTGTACAAACAGGATTCATAGCATGTAACATGAGAGACTAGATAAGTTCTATATCAAATTATCAAAGTATAATGGTATATATCACACAGCATATTAACAAAAAAAAAAGGTAAGGATCCATATCAAACTTTAAAACTAAAGGTTTTTGCCTGGTAAGGCATATATGATAAATAATTAATTGGAGGTATAAATCAACAATAAACTGAAATGGTCTATAATGTTAAAGGCATCATGCCTGTATTTGCGTAAAGATACTATGCTACTAAAATAAGTGGAGTAGAGTAATCTATACAATCCAATGTGAAAGGAACCAAAGAGATTTATATAGCATAATACTCGGCATGACTGGGTACTCATAGGAGCAATAATTATGTTAAATCAAGCTAACAATAGTTTGAATACTTGAAACAAGAAA